TCCTTCCTTCCAAGGTATCCCAAAGAACCCTATTGAAAGCATCTCCAAGTTTCAGTCATTACCCGTCTCGGCGAATTCTTCTCTGTTGTATTCTCAGAAATCGATCGGAATTCGTAAGAAAGTATAAATCTTTTTGTTGTTAATTGTGCGATGCGAGAAATGGAAAAGTCTGCGATCACTACAGCTGCAACTGGGCGTCCCCCACAATTCTCCGGGATGTTTCAGAAACTGGCTTTGGCCGTGAAGACGAAGACCTACGAGTTCTTCGCCGAGGAAGACCACGACGGTTCGGTCGCCGCAGCTGATTCCAACGCCGATGGCTTCGCGCTCCTCGACTCGGCCGAGGATTTCATCACCGATCAGAAAGTTGTCGTCATCAAACCCGATAAGCCCCACAGTGCCAAAACTCCCTCTCCTGGATCTCCGGTGAACGATCTTCCGACCGGGAACTTGGCCGTGGAGCGGAAACCTAACCGATTGAAGCCCACCCAGCTCAGAAAATTGGATGCCGAGATGGGTCAGGGCTTGATTTCGTCGGTTTTCGCGGCGGTGTCATCTTGCGAAGCTTCGTATCTTCAGTTGCAATCCGGGCACGCACCTTTCGTGGAGGAGAGCGTGAAAGCAGCTGATAGGGCTCTGGTCTCTCACCTTCAGAGATTATCTGATCTGAAGCGATTCTATAAGGACTATCGCCAAAATTCAGATTTTGAGCACGATTTGGCAATTGGGTCATATCTGGAATCACATGTGCAGGAGAATCAGAGCAAGCTTAGGGCTTTGGAAACCGTGTCGAATCGATTGCAAGCGGAGATCGACGAGAAGGACTTGCAAGTTTGGACTCTGAGGAACAAATTAGGTGAGATTCAAAAATCCAATTCGAAATTGTCGAAGAAATTATCTGCTAATGCGAGATCATCCACCGATATCCAATTGTCTGTTAGGGTTTTTGAGTCTCTGCTACATGATGCTTGTAGAGCTACACAGAAGTTCACTAAGATTTTGATTGAACTGATGGGAAAAGCTGGATGGGATTTGGATTTGGCGGCTAGTTCAGTTCATCCTGACATAGATTATGCTAAGAAGGGACACAACCGATATGCATTATTGTCATATGTCTGTTTGGGGATGTTTCGAGGTTTTGACACTAAAGGATTTGGTCTGAACGAGATTGAAGAAGAATCTGATGCATGTGCTTCAGTTTCTGGTAAAACTAGTGGCGCTAGTAATAATAATTCACTGAGGGAATTGATGCAACATGTATCAAGCAATCCAATGGAGTTGCTAAACACAGACAGGGATTGCGAATTCTCGAAATTTTGCGACAAGAAGTACCAAGAACTCATCCACCCGAACATGGAATCCTCCATATTCAGAAACATGGATCAAACTGAAGCAGTGGTGAGTTCTTGGAGATCTTTGAGCATATTCTACGAGTCCTTTGTCAATGTGGCTAGCTCGATATGGAGCCTTCACAAGTTAGCCTTGTCTTTCGAACCCGTGGTTGAGATTTTTCAAGTCGAAAGAGGGGTAGATTTCTCAATGGTTTACATGGAGGATGTCCTGAGGAAACATGACAAGAAGTTACTGCCACCAAGTCCAACTCGGGCAAAAGTAGGTTTCACAGTGGTTCCGGGATTTAAAATCGGCTGCACCATTATTCAGTCCCGGGTTTACTTGAACGGCTTGAAATCTATCTATCCATTCGTCGCAGATGTCGATAAACAAGAAGTTTCCTCTGTTTCAGAACAGAATGACTGTTGAATCCACAAGCTCATACAATGGTTTAAAGGGCTGAATGATCTACGAATGCTGTGGCGACTATATCACGGTAACGATCTGTCGTCTCAGTGAGTGCATTAGCCAGCCTTGTTCAAGCTTGTATACAGTCCATCATCAGTGTATAGGAGGAGGGTGTAAAGTTTCAGTTTTTTTTTGTCTACTCTTGTTTGTGCTTTGCCTAGGATTAAGTTCATCATATAGGGAATACAAGAATCAAACTATGTATTTGTTTATTTAACTTGTAACAGATTACCTGTTGGCCTTCAGAATACAAGGATCAAACTTGTAACAGAATACAAGAATCAAACTATGTATTTCTATCCCAAATAAACTTGGGATTAAGGCGATGTTGATGATCTTGTAACAGATTGATAACCAAACGATGTCTCTTGTTATTGTAGAATCAGTCCTAATGTCTGATAAATTTCCTGTTGGCCTTCAGTTCTGAACTTCTGTCCCCATTTCTTTGGTTTTGCTGCTGTTTTCAATTTTACGAATAAGACTACGTGTCGTTTTCCTTGATCAAAACGGTAGGAAATTCGCTGCTCAAGTTACCGAACGGCAATTTCTCAGTTCATTGTTGTTATTGGGTTCAAATTTTGTAGCCCATATGCGGTCCAACAAGGTTAAGCTCTTACCCTCTTCATAATGCCCACGAATCTCATATGTTGGGCCTTTTTTTTTTTCCTCAATTCACATTCTGACCTAAGGTCATATGATCTTTTGAATAGGGGTTTTCAAAATTATTTACTTTTAATTATTACTTTTTAACACCTTAGAGTTTATAATTTTTTCAAACTGAAATATAGAACTAAGTATTAATTCTAATACTCATGTATGCATTATGTGCGTGTTAGTGCTGTGTATATATAGATATCCCACGTGTCGATGACTTTGTACACAGACCTAATATCCAATGCTCGTCATCTTTCGGGCAATATATGTTGTGGGACTTAGAAATCTACGCAGATAAAATTGTCCATTAATTGTTGCTTTGATTCTAACAGATAGAGGTTTAAAAGGTAATGAACCATTTTTATCCAAAGTATATCCGACGTGATTCACATGTTTCATGCATAGTCTGTATCTTCAGTTTGCAACGTTGATTAATCAATTTGATCAACATCCAAATGCTATTTTTCTAATCCCTAGCCACTGATTCTTTGCCGATGTAAAATATTTTTTTTAGGTTTTTCTACTTCGCATAGGATAAGATATGTAATCATATAAATATCTGATATTTTATGTTATTATATAGATATACTTTCGTTGTTTCGTGGCATGGAATTTTACATTGTATATACATGTTGCTCGTGTGAATGGAAAACACAACGTTTTATTGCATAAATCTTGACATGGTATAGGATATTTGTATATATATGTTTGCAGCTTTGCATGAGTATCAGGTTATAAACACCAATGAACATATTGCATTTATGTGGTAACAAGAGGAACATAATTAAAGAACATATATATATATATATGCTACCCAATCAAACTCGAGGAGGAATACGATATAATGTTCATCCAAACTCGTAAAATGATCGGCTCGATCTTTGAATTTCTCAACTTTTATTCTTCGTTCTCGAGTTCATTCGGTGTATGAACAGATTCTTCATTGACATCCTAGGATTAGAACACAATAATAATAATAATAATAATAATAATAAGCAAGGATTAATAATCAGTGCTCCTTAGTGTAAACAGTCTCCTAGTTATACAAGACCATTTAACATGAACACCAGAAACAACAATTGATTACACGACATAAGATAACACATGATATAAATAGTTCATGAAGAAAGAAACCCTAAAACGGATTTTCCATATATTCCTCGATGGTACGTCTAATAGGGAGCCACTCCAACATTGGCTGCAGGAGCGTAGAACCCTTCTTTCATGACGCCGTCCTCTCCCTCCTACGCAATTATGAAGTTAATCCATATAAGTTTGTAATGTATTTAACCATATTCATGTGTGTATATATATATATATGAAATGTGATGAGGCATTTCATGAGCTTAGGGTTTCGTTATGTAAGTCGTATATAGTACCTGGTTGGTCATCCCAGCCATCTTCACGGGTCGATTATCTGGCGCAATCCCGAAATGTATGTGTGGGAAGTGGGCCCACTACAAAACACATAACAACTTGTGTTGGATCAGACAAAGTATTTAGTCGTCCCAATATCCCAGCTACACCAACTTGTGTTGGTAACAATATATATAAAACCCTAGTTTCCTTGGTTTTCTTTTTTTTTTGTTATAAAAAAAAGGAAACTAGGGTTTTCTTGTTTGAACATCTAAGCCGTTTCTACAATATTACTTAGAGAACCCAAGTTCAGAGGTAGACGATGTCTCTATACTTACATGTGTAGATATGAATGCTCTAAGGTTTTCATACAATTTAGTAGCGAGTGATAATGTATATCTTGGTGAAGAATCTTACATTCTTGGCAGCTGCACTAAAGGCTTCCCTGTGGCTTATATCAGGATTTCCAGCTTTGATACGTTGGATCTCTTCCCTGCACATGTGTGAATGCCCGGCCGTGACTAATTGGATACTGAGAAATCAATATACGTAAATATTGCATATTCGAAGCAGAAAATGGACTGGATAAGTATAATTATTGAGACATAGATTGCTAACTTGATGAAGCGGTTATAAGCGGATGGGACTCGCTGTCGTTTCTCCGGAGCTGGCGATGGCAAAGACAAAACGAAAACAAACTCAGACAGAAAGAGACAAGTATACATTAAATTCACTTCGTTGTCTTTTTCTTTCTCTGCATTGACATCATCGTCGTTGTTCTCTCTCTCTCTATCTCTCTCTCTCCTCTCTCTTTCCATCATCACTTCATCATTATCTTTAGCCACACCCCTTCTGCATACGAATTTGCATAGATTCTTTTTCGCTATATTTTCGGGGGATAAAGCCCTCTTTTTCTTTCTTTACCCTAATTATTACAAACACAAAAATCAATCGAAAGCAAAACATGGGTCGTTTCATGAATTTTAGCCATACAGCGTGAGCAAGGCAACAAAACACGGCTTACCAAGAAATCAGTTGATTCGACAGTCTTTTCGTTGATATTTTGAAAATCAGTTTGATTCGACAATCTTTTCATTGAATTTTAGACATCCAAAAAGTCTTTTAGAATAGGCAGAATATTCGCAAAGCAATGCAAAACCTTATAGAAAACAACAAGAAACTACTGTAGGTGGAGCATCCTAGATATCGTTGACAGACACACACATGCGTATATTTATATGCGTGTATCAGTGACTGACTTTTTTCCCTCTTTAGGGTTTTGGGGCCAGAAGATCTATGCATGCTCTCAAGGGAGCTCATGTCCATATTTCCCACACAACCCTAAGATGAATTAAGATGAGAAACAGGAAAACAAGGGATATATAAGAAGAGAAATTGTCTCACGTCGGTTAACCGGTGGTGCTTTGGGAGTCTCAAGTTGCTGATCAAGGCCTCGAATGTCCATGAAGGACGGCATGTCATTTTGGCTAGGGTGCTGATTCATGAGCATATTCACGTTGGATGGTGCATCTCTTAGTCCCTCCTGTAATTTAAATAAGGAAAAAAACATATATGTGAAAAAAAAAACTTTTCCAAACATGAACCCTAATTAAAAACCCTACATAGGTAGCCCTTGTAAAAGCATAAAAAGGCAACGAATGAAGCTTCTTCTTTACAAGAATGTTCTGAGGGTTGAAGAAGGAGTGAGGGCCGAGCTGAAGCTGGTTCGCGGCCGGAAGGAGGAGAGAGCGCATGTTCACAGACAGGAGATTTGTGCAGTAACCACATCGAACGGTGACGATCTTGAACATGCTCGTGTAAGGAACACTGACCTAAATTACACACACAAAAAAAGAAAAGCAGTCAAACTCAAGTCAACGCATAGAAACCCATAGAGCAACAAAAAAGAAATCCACAAACAGATGATGATGGTGAAGAAGAAGAAGAATATATAAGAGGAGATGACTGAGAGAGAGAGAGAGAGAGAGGGAGAGGGAGAGGGAGAGAGTTATACCGCGAGGACAGTGTTACAAAAATCGCATTGGACATAACAGAGATGGTCGGAGGGGGAGAGGTGGTCCGGTGAAAAAGCAGCTGAAGGGGAAGACATCGACATTGACATTCTTTTTTTTTCTTCTTGTTGTTGATCGATCTTCTTTTGGGTGTGTTTGGATTTGATTGATTGATGGGTATTTGACGGATCAGAGGATTCTTGATAAGAGAAAATATATTAAAAAACCCACATTGATCTGATCCACTGTATTGTTGAGTTGCTGTGTATTATATACCACAAAGGAAGAGAGAGATGGAAGGGGGCAAGGTAGATACAAATCTGAGAAGTGGAGAGAGAGAGAGAGAGAGAGAGAGAGAGAGAGAGAGAGAGAGAGAGAGGGAGGTGAAAAAAAGAAGCATAAAATTTTCTGGCTTTCTCTAGGTATTTGTAATATTTTGTTAATATTTAATTTGTATTCGATTTATAGTGTGCATTTCCATTCAACCATATGTAATTCTAACGACGTCCTTTTTTCTAGAGGAAAATGCAAATCATGTATCGTCAATTAATACGTGAACAAATGGGTGTATAAATCCTATAAAAGTATGCTCTTGATAGATTATAAGGAAAAAATGAGCCGAAAGACCGATTTTTTATAACCCATGGTCTAATGTCAATTTTTTTTTGTCCACTATGATGAACCGAAAGACCTTCCTATATATAAACATACACATTACATTCTGTAAGCACATGATCCGGTAGATAAATGTCATCAAAATAACTTTTCATGCTCCAAGCAATTGGCTTGAATAATAATCTATATATAGTTCTAATGTATTATGTAACCTTATCATTATCTCGATCGGAATCATTAGTTTCCTTTGCATCATTTATCGTAGACGACGGTTCATCCAAATTATGCGGTGAATTGGAACTTTACATGGTTACCTCAAGAATTTTGGAGAGTTTGATATGAAAATAAAATTTCATGTTGGGTGGATTGCACCCGTTTCCCCAAAAAAAAAATCATGTAAATTGTTAGGAAATAACCTCACCAACATTAATTAATGGGACTAAGGCTTAACGTATTCGGCTTAGAGCAAAGGATGATTCATACTAGTTAAAAATGATTGGTTTCCACGTGAAGATTTATGCTATTTGCATAAGCGTGATTAAACGGTTTATGGATATGGACATATATACACTTAATTATGTTTGTTGACACATATATATATCCATAATAAATTGATGAAAGGGCGAAAGCCTAAGGGCAAATTAATGTGGCTGTGGAATTCGCACTTCCCAATGGAGAGAGAGAGAGAGAGAGAGAGAGATCCGAGTGTGTGTATGCAGAGGCGGCAGAGGTTGGGGAGGAGAAAGGGACGTTTGCATGGGAGTGATTAAGCGTCGCTTCATTCACCCGTTGTTTTCACCCCTTAATTACACTGCCACGCTTTTTTCTCGTTTCTCTACAATTCCCCTTTCTTTCTTTTTTTTTAAATATAATATATAATAAATTTATTTCAACACATCGGAACACATATATACACACACAAACGCATGCATGTATGTGCGTTTTTATTAATTATATGCATAGCGTTGATTGGAGCTATCATTAGCTTTTTGGTCATTATATGATTGTTTTTTCCCCTTCTACGAAGGGTTGTGGAAAATTGGGAATCTTCCAAGTCTAGGCTTTTTATTTGAAAGGGAAAGTTTAACTGTTTAAGTTATACCCGAGTTTATACAACGCCAAACCAAATTCAACTGCTCATCATAAGCATCTATATATACGGGTTCTAATGTAACAATTTCGTATTTACTTCTATAAAATATATTTGAATATATATGCACATCAACGATCAAGAAATGTATTGTTTCTCACATGTTACATTATAAAAGCAGCGGGCGCACATATATATTTATATACACGCCACATTGGTGAAAGCCACGGACAAAAGTCCACTACCAATTTATTTGGATCGGGGTATATATGTTTTTTTTTCAAAGAAATTCAATAACACGAGACTTGTAAATTATTTAAAAAAAAAGGAAATTTTCAGAAAAAGGAAAATTGCAACAACAAAAAATCTTTGAATAATTTTTCATTTTAACACCTTTTTTTATAATCCGGATACACGAAATACTTGAGTAATAATCAGTCACTTGTATGTATGATTTTTTTTTGCACGAAAAAAAAACATGCAAATATATCAGTTACTGTGGAAGAGATTTTGAGATGTATATGACAAATTAGGAAGAGGAAATTAATATGTTTTGAAATAAATAAACGAAGAGGAAAAGGTGTTTACGTTTGGTCTGAAAGCTTTCCTGGAAACGTATACCATGTTAGGGTTAGCCCACACTTTTGTCGCAATTTGATAGATGTGATTCCTGAGATAGTACATGCATACATACACATATATACACATACACACACACACACATATATTCTCATGCATATGTGTGGAGATCGTAGCTGACATATATTGGTATTTTCCTATTTCTTTTTCTTCTGATTGGAATTAACCCGAAAAAATCTATTGGTATACACACGATTTCAATTGAAGTTAGCTACGAATATCTCACACAGCCACTTCACAGTATGTGAATATATATATATACAGACATGGTATATATTTGTATAGATCCATAATTGTTCGATGAATTAGTGTGAATCAATGATCCCTAAAGTCGCTATTTGGAATTCGATCGAATGGTTGATTTCAGTTCTATAATCTTGAGCGGTGATTCAATTACGCGTGGAAGCTAAGAATGACTAATTAAAGCCACCGAATGGTGGAAGAAACGAGAAATAAAGAACCGTGAGATTCCATATCTCATTATTAAAGTTGTTTAATTAGCCCGAGAAGTAACGAATTCTCGGATATCAAAGAGGGACAGCGGATAAAAGGGCGAATCGAAGGCATAGTAATCGCAGAAAGAGACGATATATTTCATAAATGTGGCTTCTTTTGGGGTCTGAGTGTGAAATTGTACAAATACATCGTGGGTTGTAATAATGGGCTAATAAAATATAAAAAAAAGTCCATGGCTCTGCGATGTAGTGTAGCACACAGTGCCTTTCTCTGCAACATTTATAAAAAGGAACGTACGGAACTCTATGTAGCTCCAAGGCTAGTCTTCCTATTAGGGCTGATAGGTAGACATGTATGCTCTCAGGCTCGTCCCGAGCCCTAAAAGCTCCGTCTCTTTGTCTCTTTTCTCTCTGTGTCCCGACACGTGTCTCGCCTTGGAACCTTGTGGCGAGAACGAGGGAAGAAGACTAAACACTTCCGACATGAAACCCTATTTATAGTTTGAAATTGTTAATTAATGTTCTAATCATGAAAAAGAAGACTAAGTGATTTGTTCTAATCACGAAACCCTATTAGTTAATGTTCATGGTCTATATAAGTTGCCAAAAATGATTTGTTCATATTATGATTTCATTTCATCGTTTTTTTTTGCCTATTGTACCGTGATATATGACTGAGTGAGAGCCTTGAGAATCTTAGACTCTCGGCCTTGAGTGTAATAACAAAACCATCATCTCATTATTTAACTCTTTTAGCTAAAAAGAGAAACTGCATCTTCTCCGATCCTCGGAGTATTTGTTGTCTTAAAAGTCGAAAGAACTGGTGATCTCAATGAATGGTGGTGAAGGAAAATGGGACTCACCGCATGTTCATTCAAAAACAAAACGTGTAGCAAAATGCTGGGCCCTCGTAATTATGATAACCCATTTTGTATTTGTGAACCATCTCTATAAGTCAATTACGTCATAAAATTTTGTCTGTATATATCCAACTCTCAATCTCTCTCTCTCTCTATATATATATTGGTATGGTATTATTACACTCTAAGATCTTAGATAAGAATACCATGTTGGAGAATTATCAGTGTGTTCGAAGATAAACACACAGTACGTTGAGAATGCGATAGAGACTCGTGGACGGGAAAGAGTAGTTAAAAAGTTCATACGCATGTGAACATGTTTTTTTTTTTTTATAAAAAAAAAATCTTGAGATTGGATTGTCAGTCAATGGGTATGTATAAAGTTACTTGGCCCCACCCACAAAACTGCCCTTTTTTCACTGGGTCTAACCTGAAGTTTATACTGTGTTGAGTTTTTCAGTAGTAGTAGGTTATTTATTTATTTATTTTTACTAATATTCACCCCACATGAGCATCTGATACGTTGAAAAATGTTTGAAACCAAAAAAAAAATATATACAGTGGTATCTATAGAGAGAAATAGCAGGGGAAAAAAACAGAGCAAATCATGATGGACCACAAGGTTCGAAAACATGGACCATTAGAATTCGGTGTATGGAAAGGAAGAGGCAAGAATCCAGAAATCACATGGAGACCCCTAACCATGTCTGATCCGATGATGCTGTGCGATTTAAGAATTTATAATATCGTAAAATCCAACAAAATGGGAAGAGACAAAACAAATAAACAAGGCGTGTGGAACAAAGCGATTTGATTAGATCTGCTAGTTAAGGAAAACTTACAACCCTCTTCCGGTTTGCTTTCGCGTATGAACATACTTTCGGGTCTCTGTTTATTTGGAGAGCCAGTAGATAATCAGAAACAACGTACAAGCAGCAATGACTGCAGAGAGGATAATCGTGTCTCTAGAACGTCTCCTTCTGATCGATCCTACAAGAAGTTAGGTAATGCATTCAAGGGCTCCATTAAGAGACAGTCGATAATAAGCCGTCTGCATTTTCTCAGAAATTCATTACCAACCCGCAAAAATTATTTGAATTTTTATGCAAAAGATTTGTAGGAGGCGTCAATGATTTCGATAACAGTAGCAAAGTCTATTCCTTTATCGTGTAGAGGTCAAGAATAGATACCGAGCAAGCCACGGATAACCGGAAACTTGTCTCCGAGAAGTTTTACTTTCCCTTGAACATCTGCAAAGAGGGATCGTTGAGAGCCCAAAACCGATCTTGTCGCTTGAGCTTGATTAATGACTTCATCAATCTGCAGCCAAATGGTCCTATAACTATTACCTCGGTGAGTAATCCATAATGGTCGAGGTACAAAACTAACTGTTTAAATACAAGAGCCCCTTTTGAGTTTTGCTTCCCACATGTTGCAACTAATCCTTAGAAGAAGCAAACTATGTGGAATCACTTGGTGCATTATCATTTTTTCCTTTGCATTCTAGCTGAATCTTTTATTCCCTAGGCATCAAAATCAACCCTTCTAGTAGATGAGATGCTTTCTTCCTCAAACCAACTGAATTGACAGGTCAAAAGTAGATTACAAGGAGGGGGCTATAGAAAGAATATGTCATGGAGACAAATGATTTCAGAATAAATCTTACTCACATGGGATATACTTCCGTGGATGGAAGCTCTCTCCCGTAACACTTGCACGCCTGGTGACATACTCCCAGAAGCCTACAAAACGGACAACAGAAAGCCGAATTCCCCTCACACTGAGACCATGAACTCCAATCTTAAGAAGACCAATTCTCTAAATCTGGAGGCCGTGGGATTCTTACCTTATATTCACTAATGTCACCTCTGACAGAACTTAAAAGCTCAGCGTGCTCCTTCATCGAGTTTATATTTCCCTTAATTCTTCGAAACTCCTAGAAATTAAATCCAAATATATTGTGAATGAGAGTGCAGCTAACCAGGGTGGTTAAATGCCTATTCCTACAGAAACACAAGTACCAAGAATAGGAACCACGCAGAACTACAAACTAAGTAGAACACGTTCACCTCATATCAGGTATGGCACAAGGAATATGGATTACAGACTACAGTAACCAATAACTTGTCTTCCCTGTGTTAGCGGGTTACACAGAGTTATATCATCACTTATTCACCATATGTGTGATAACACCCACACACATATATATATCGACATTGAAGCATTGTGGGTTGAAATTAAAATTTTGTTAGTTCTGAAAGTTGAAATGTGAAATGTCTGATATAGAAAGTAAAGAACGCATAGACTGTCCAGAGTTTCAGTTAGACGTCAACTTAGGAGATGGCAAATGAAAATAACAAATCTCCCAGAATACAGGAAAAAGAAGAAAAATGCAACTGTCGTGCAAGAAAACCTGGGTATATTCATGGAGTATATCTCTGTGCCTAGCTAGCTTTTGGGTAACTGATGTTGTGGGAGCTGCTGATGCAGCACATCTGCTCATAGAGTCATTTATGTCCAAGAGCTTCTCAAGCAACGATGGGATTTCCATCTCCATGGACTTCCATGATCTTCCAGATCCCACAGTTGGAGATCCAGTGTCACCGTACCCTGAGACCAAAGGATATAAGCTTGTGAAAAAAGAAACCTAAACCTGCCATTTGAAGAAACTTCCTTAATGAGCTTGATACTCAACATATCCACTTGTAAGAAGGGCTAATTACATTTCACAAAAGCAAGAAAACAATCTCGGAGATGCACTACCTAATGAGAGAGATTGATCCTTTCCGATCTCAGCCGAACATTCTGTGAACTCAACTCAAATGGGATGCAGAAACGATCGGATCCATCAGTTTAACCATACAAAGAAGAAATGACACCTATGAAACAATGATCTAGAATCAGGAACTAACCAAACAAGTACATCGCACCAAAGATAAAGTAGGGAGGTAGACAAGCAGCTGCGATGAACTAAGCATACAGAAACTACATCAGAGACTGATAACCAAATCCGATCGACATAAATTAAGCATGGAGATTATTTCCAAATTCCCTACTTCATCACATTCCAGATTTCTAATCCTACCGGAGAAACAGTCGACGATAACAACGAATCAAACAGGAAGCAGAAACGGAAAGGACGAAGCTGCGAATAGAACGAACCTGCTTGGGTGAACCTCGCGCCAAGCTTAGCATACGAAGAGAGCTTAACGTCGAGATCGCCTTCGATCTTCCGAGCTTCTCTCCGGAGTTCCTCCCAACCCGATTCCTGAAGATCCAGACTCGAATCCGTCATCTCCGATAGAGTTACAACAAGGCTCCCTCTAACGGCAACCCGATTCCTCCGATCTTCCGAGCGAGTTACGACAAGGCTCTCTCTTCTCTCCGAGCGGAGAGGATCATTGGGGAAGTTAAGCCTGGGCCGCCCATTAGAATGTGAATTATTATTGGGCTTAATCTAATTTATTAGTTGGGCCTCATACGGCCCATTAAAGCTAAATTAGTGACAATTTTACCTTGACCGTTTGGTTTGGGCTTCGATCTTGAGCCCCATTATCTTGGACCTTGGTATAAATGATGCGTGAACATATTAAAATACGTCTGCAAAAACATATACATATCGACATTCGACAACGGAAGCAGCAAGTCTCTTTTTTTTCCCTTCGATTCGGATTTCGGTTGAACGAAGCGCTCCTTCGCCTATTGATTTCAGAATCCGAGTTTCAGGTATTTCTCGCTGATGAATCTCACTCTCTTTTGCGCTGATGAATCTTGCTCATAGAATCTTCTGCTGAAAGCTACGCGAGAATCTAGTTCCTGTGTCTCGTATTCGTGTCTCGCCGGGGAAAGTGTAACTGCCAGATCCAGTATGTTTTAGGCTAGGAATATGGCTAAAACGGACAATAGTTCCAATTTTCTTTCGTCTGATTGCCGGTCATGTAATTTCCAGATCCAGAACCGCATGAAGTTTTCTGTTCTTAGTCCTAATTTGATCGGTATTTCTTAGGTTCGACTTTTCTTCGCCTGTGGTAGCGGAAGATTGTCGCCTCTGGATTTCGGCGGCCATGGTGTCCTTCGAAATGAATGATCGGAAAAGTAAGTGCAGATTGTACATTTTTGTTGGGTTAAGCTGTTTCTCTGAATACTTAGTGCAAATGGATGGGATTAGGAGAACTTAATGTTCCTCTAAGTTTACATTATGAAAGATTTAACGGTAACTGTAGTCAGTTGATGTCCAATGACCTGTCTTGTTCAGAAAATAGCCTAGTGAACCTTTTAGGTTTCTTTATGGTGTTAATGAATGAAAGGACCAGTGAGTGATACCTGTTTAAATTGTATGCTACTAGGTTACAGAGCTATATCTGCAACTGAGCTTGGATTGGATCATCTGTGTAGAATTTAATGCAAGTTTATTGCATATTAAAAGTTCTAACATGACTTCAAATTTTGCGATGTTGTTTTGGACAGAAATTGGGTTAGGGCTGACAGGATTTGGCATATTTTTCTCATTTCTGGGGATCGTCTTCCTTTTTGATAAAGGATTACTTGCCATGGGAAATGTAAGTGTCAGGGAGCCTCCATTTCTTCTGCTTTGACTGCTATTGTCTTGCATGTTTTCAAGAATCAGAGTGAGGCTCATCCCTTCTCGTTTTCTTTAGATTCTTTTCATTTCAGGAGTTAGCCTAACCATTGGTCTGAAGTCTACCATGCAATTCTTCATGAAACGTCAAAATTTCAAGGTTTCGTTGCTTTGTATCCCTTTCTCCGTGTTTATATGTGTGTTCATGATCTCACCTGCAGTTGTGACCTGTTCACGAGAAAGCAACTGAATTTTTATTCTACGTTTTCATTTGGCTTCTGTTTCGATTCAGGGGACCATTTCTTTTGGCGCTGGATTTTTTTTTGTTGTCATCGGATGGCCCATTTTGGGAATGATACTGGAGACCTATGGTTTCATTGTACTCTTCAGGTCTGTATGGAATTTTTCTTCCCTCTTACTGCTACTGCATGTTGAAAACATTTCCAGTTGCTAACCTAGTTTTTTTTTCTTTCAGTGGCTTCTGGCCAACATTGGCAGTTTTCATTCAAAAAATACCCGTTCTCGGTTGGATCATTCAACAGCCGTATATAAGATCGGTATGCTTCCATTTCAAAACTCTTCCCCCTGCAAAAGGAGTTTCATTTTCTCTAGAAAATTTAAAAAAATGACGAACTTTGTCTGTACAAATCTTGCATAAGACCTTGTGCATGTGGAATTCAAACCACCTTTCGTTATTTCCATTTTGGTATGCACAAGAAATCCATCTAATCACTCAGATTTGATGAAACGGATAATTCCAATGATCCGAGGTGTCAAAAACATTACATTGTCGTAGAGATTTCAGCTGCATCTTCAGCTCTTTTGTTCAGGAGAGCAATCGATTAACTCGGTGCTCTGTTTATGTGATGATGAGCAGTTCTTTGACAAGTACCGAGGCAGACGTGTACCCGTCTAGTCCCGCAACTCGAGGGACAAATCACGAAGCTAAGAGGCTGGACCCCCGACTGCGACTCTTGCATATGATGTTGGTTCCTGTAGAAAATTTGTTTTACCTGCACTGACAGGAGACTATGAGAAAGAAGCAGGGTGAGAAGGGCTTGGAGACAAACAGATTTGAGCTTATATGTAATGTCTACTCTGTAGCTTTGTCATTTTTCATGGTGTGGCAGTTGGCAGGTGAAAGAAACTCAAAAAGACATAGCGCGAGACGCTTAAGAATTTTGTAAACGTTGAAACAAATGTATTGCAGTAATAGGTTGAGAAACTTGTATTTGATCCAAATATTTTCCGAAACGATTATTATTTGCCCTTAAAACGCAAATCCAACGGTTCAAAATCAAAGGCTCGTTCCTCATCCGACCGTCCGTTGTCTTATCTCCTTGCCAATTTATTTATCCTGGTTTTAGAAAAAAAAAATCTAATAGGTGGGCCTACCCGGTATAAGTTGGTCATACTGGGCTGGCCTTTTATTGGGCTTTTTATTAATGGGCTCATTAATTTCAGACCACATATTTTTGTCAAGATTGTCTATTCAACCCTTTCGGCCACAGAATTAAGCGACTATTCTATTTTGACGAAGGAAAAAAAAAATCATAAAACAAAAATCAAAATGCATGCATATTAAAAGCTCAATGTGAACATATACATATCCTTTGGTGGCGCATGGCGGTGTTGATGGGTTGAACTCTTGGTTTTGGTTTATTTGACCACCAAGTACCATTTTGGTACGGTCTTTGTGTTCGTCCTCGTAAGAAACGACCGATGGATATTCTGTTTTGTAACGTAATTTGTCCGACTTTTTATTTTTTATGATTGACTGTTGAATTATGCCAAGTCCTCCTTAGTTAGACAAGTCGATTATGATCGAATCCAAGTGGTTGGTCGATATATAAATTAATCGATAAAAAAACTTGTATTGTATATCTTCATGGCGTCACCCACTTCCGTACCAAGCCATTTAAAAAATATACAGATTGATTCACCGAAAATTAAGGAACCGACTTACGTGTTATTAAAATGATTCATTTTCTTGATTGAAACTATAATATGTATGTATACACACAAGGCAAGAAAGTGCGTGGATCTTTGAAGTTTGGATTAGCCGTTTAATTAAGAGCCTAGTGGCCCGAGGAGCCATCCAAGAGCTTGTTTATTTTAAGGCAGGTACGATTATCCGTACAAATAAAGACAAATTTAATTTGTCGGCTATCCATGCATGACCATGCACCAAAGGAAGCATTCACAGTCATCACTTTGTGTTTTTTACTCCACCTTTTACTTTGTGATTCGGAGTAGATAATATATAGGTTTCCTTCAATTATATAATTCAAACCACTTTTTTCTTTTGGGCTGACACTATAGTGTATTTCATTTTCCAAGTTGGTTTGTTATATATTTATAAGACATATTTTTTATTTTCTTATTCGAATATCCACGTGTATTTACTGTAAATCGAACGGAAAATAGATTTTGTGCACGAAATTATAATCACTTAAAGGTTGCTGCATAAACAGGTTATGTGCTTGTAAATAATATTTCACCCTCCACGGTTCGCGCGTATATATACAAGATTTTCGTACACATATGGATATACGTATTCCTAAACGGACCTAGGCATGGAAATTTTCTCAAAGTGCTTTTCAAAGGTGCATGCTTTTCGAATCGACGATCAAGCAAGGATATGATTTGCATTGTCATCATTTTGGATATAACAAATATGTACATATTATAATATATACATATATATATATATAAAATATGTAAAGCATGAAAGTGGGGATTGAAAATGGATGATCCACTATCGGTTTAGTCATTGTTTAAATCTAGCTTTTATGAAAATCATTTGATAATACATATTTTAAAGTGTTGTTGACTAATGAGGCTTTGGAGTGAAATGATATTTTCCTTCCTTATGCATTAGATTTGGTGTATTGTATCATTTTCAGTAGGAGGAACACTGAATTGAAAATTCTATGAAACGATTTGACAAAAGGAATATTAAACCATGGTAGAAAATATAAACACCTACATATATATAATAGAAAGAAAAAATGATCATTTTTACACGAGTTTCGCGTAGATTTATATTGTTTATACTCAATTTCAAGCAAAACAAAAAACATTGATATCTGCAATGGCTCAAGTTACGTGCGTTGATTTTGCGAAATCCAAAATGGCATCGAGCGCCCGCCAGTTCTACGGCGGAAAGTTCCCTTCTATTTCCACTTTATTTTATAAGATTATATTTTTTTTTATTTAAAATATGGTTTTCTTTCTTTTTTTTAAAAAAAAAGTGGCTTATCGGACTGAATCGCTTCAGGTGGGCCCGCCACATCACTTGTAGACTTATGGTATACGTAACATACTGTACGGAACACGAAGCGATGAGGTTTTCGCATTTGTCACGAATTTGCATTTATACGAATTATCAAAACAACATATATAATTATATATTTTATAAAATGTAATGGTCGATATATGTATACATATGTATCAAAGTTTATTGTTTTATTACAAAACAAATATCTTCTCCAGCTCATCGCCCCTTTAAATAATATAGAATCCCAAAAACAATTAATAACGTTAATTTAAACACAATCACGAGACAACAAAAAAAACCTAATCAGATCTAACTGTCATGAGCCTCTCTTGTCTTGTTTCTGTCTGCATTTGCACGTGTAGGTTTGGCAATTAATGGACACACTGTACAAAATATACATGCAATATTTCAATACAACATGAAAACAAAATGCACAGACATCACACGTGACAAAATGTTGTACATGTGGCCATCACACGTGTGTGGTGGCAGTACACTTGTTTTTTTTTTTAAAAAAATCGATATATATATATATATATATATATATATATATTCATTCAATAAAATACATATATACACCTGCGGAGCCTAAAGTTCGGTGAGGCCTCGTCCTTTATGTCCCCATTGCCACATTTTTCTGTTCCTCATGACGCTATAGGTCCCACATGTCTCGACCTACCACTTCCTTGGCCATTGGTGGACCGTCCATGCACGATGATGGTTCGTAAGAATTGTTGTAACCGTTCGTTAGGATGTTAATTCGTATACTATAATCTTTTCTCAAGTCTCTCGTCAACGGCTACGAAAGTTATATAACTTTTATAAACTAATGTATATGATTTGATATATGAAAAAAGAAACATAAATTCGTTGTCTAAAGCGTCGATCATATCAAATACAAATAATTAACTCATTGCATATATTGTTATCTTTGTTACATTTGATAGAGAACAAGTAAAATTGCGACGCATCTAACATTTTCTGACGAAGTTGAAACCAAAGATTATGTCTTTGGTGCAGATTTCGGTAATTAATTACAATATTGTCCGAAATTGTTAGGGTTCTCTAGAAATACTGTACGGGGGAAAAAGGTTTTAGGATTTTGTCGCGAGTACGTTCAATGACTGCGTTTGGATATTAATTAATGAGAGATTCTTCAGGTGAGAAATATCAAAAGTGGCAGTTTCCCAATCCAACGGCTGAAACAATTCCTGCTCATCCGATCGTCCATTTGTCTGACTCAGTTCGTTGACCCATTCTTTCTTTTTATACGAGGCCCCCCCCCCCTTCCTCAAGACTCTCCACTTCCATTTCGCACAATAATTCCCAAACATCATCTCTCTTTCCTTCCCCGTCGCCACCGTCGATTTTCTCGCCGCTTTCCCGGAAAATCTCCACCGTTGATCCTCTGCAACCTCTGATCTAGAGTTAATAAATTCAGAGCTTTCGTATCTGAAAGTTACCATCTTTTTCGGAACAGATTGGGAGAAAACCAGCAAAGGATACAATTACAAAAAAAAAAAAAAAACCCAGCAAAGGAGCTTGTGTCTTGGTTCTTGTCTGAAATGAATCTCCTTTTCAGCGACGGAGCTATACATGTTCAAGGCTTGTCCATCTCTGTCTTGTCTCACCCACTCAACCGCCGATCTGTCTTAGTTCTGTAACAAGATTCTCCAAATCAGCTTCTTCCCTTAGATTCTGTTCCTTGAAGTGTGGGAAATCACCCAACGACAACGATGAAGTTCAGAGGCATCCGAATCAGAAGACGGATTCTCCGGACGTCCAGATGGATACTCCGAAAGACCCGGATCCGCCTATCCGGGTACAACCGCCTTTGCCCGACCCGACCCGATTCCAAGCCCAGAACCATCGCCAAGCTCATCAGCTGGGGACGCCGTCTGAGAGACAGAGCCAGGTTGATCGGGTCGAGGAGGATAGGATCCGGGTACATACCCGTGGGTCAGGATCCGATCGGGACAAAACCCGACCCGGTTCCCAAGGGTCATTTGGCGGTCTACGTTGGTAAAAAAGACGGCGACTTTCACAGGGTTTTGGTACCCGTCGTTTACTTTAACCATCCTCTGTTCGGTGAGCTTCTCAGGGAGGCCGAAGAAGAGTTCGGATTTTCCCACCAAGGTGGGATTACTATCCCTTGTCCGTATTCGGACTTCGAACGGGTCCAGACCCGGATTGAATCCTGGTCGGGTTCCCGGAAATTGTTCTGGAGCCGAAACCGCCATTGATGCTGCGCGAAAGGTGATACATCATTGTGATGATGACGATGAAAAGGGTTTAGTACGATCAAGATCATATTTGTGGAATGTTTTCTACTCTTTGAACAGTTAAGCACTTTTTACCCTTTTTTTCACTTTTGACTATCGTCGTTTCCTGTCTCTGACTAGGTATAAATGTGATAGTGAATGCTACAGTAAGACGATAATGTACATAATCTTGAGATTTTTTTTCCCACAAACGCTTGGTTTTGACGTTGTGGTTATGGTGATGGTGATGGTGATGGTGATGATGATGATGATGATGATGATGATGATGGTTTGTATGGGGAAGACTTGGTCATGGAGTCCCCAATTAATGGAATATGATAGAATCAATGAAAAAATTAAACACGACTCTTCTCATCTCGCGGCCAAACCCAAGATTTTGCTATCATCAATCCCCACCACTTCTTTCGTCTTGATTCACTGATAATATCTGTTAAACCCCATGAAATAACTTGGAATTATCGTAAAAAAAATTATGATACTATCATCCAAAAAATGTTGTTTCGGATCCCTAATCTTGATTTGATTAGCAAATTTTTGAAGCGACGGATATGTATTTCAAGCTTCCATGCAAACATATACATATATATATATATGTGCCATGGAAATGTTGAATTTCAAGAGGAGGACGAGGAGGCCAGAACGAGACAATTAGGGTTTGAAGCGTTCGTCGCCATTGATGTCCCTTTCCGTATGTGTGAACAAAAAGATAGATGGTGGATGTAGTGGAGAATCTACGCACATAACATATACCACCGATTCTAAAGGAGCCAAATTTATTACACCCTTCGCCGCTTAAAGAGCCAAATTTATTGCAGACGACGGTTCGTATTACCATTTTTGTATTGTTTGAATTGCACTTCACGTTCATAATTTTTTCGAAATAGCTTGAAAGACTAAAAATAGGATCACTTGAAGAGCGCAATAAAAAAAATAAAAGAATGCAAGTATTTTTTTGATAAATATATATGTGGTCTGTAAGTAATTATATATGATACTATTGTATTTTATTTTGTGTGAAATAGCGAATTTGATTACCTATCAATGGGATCACATCGGTCCAGATTGAACTTTAGAAACTCAATATTAGAATATTTGAATTGAATCAGTAGTTGATCTCGAAAATTATTTTTCTCCGCTATGTATATACACACACACAAATGACGTATTTTGTGGTTTTTATAATTGTTATTATTAAAAATGAACATAGATCCGTCTCAAATTCGGATTATTACGAGGAATAAGCGCTACTTAATGCATATGGAAGATGATATTTGGTATAGTTGAATATGCGCTTCGCTTTGAGATTGCTCGTTGACCGTGCAGCTCAATTTCATGTACGAGGGTTTGAATATTCGCAGAAGCCAAGTTGACCATTAGGCTTCAAATAATTCAGGTCGGTCCAATCTTCTTTTTATACTTATCTCCAATCGGAATGACATTAACGTGGCCGTAGCGATCAGTGTGGCTGATCCACACAATTCGAAACAGAAATTTTAGGAGGATTATCGATATACATATAAATTCTTATATTTTTGTTACAATGTAGTCTATAGTTTTGCGAAATCCGTGAAATTTGATTCCATCGTGCGTATAAAATGATTATTCCTCGTATAAAATAAAACAATAAGTTGTACAGTCCATTTGTAGCCAAATCCCCATGCAAGCTCAAGATTTGATGTGTACGAGTACTTCTAGGTGACACGAGGGAACACACGTCCGTGATCTCCAGAGATATGGGCTCATGATGGGCCTTTTTCATAGAAACTAAATGGGTTCTTAAAGCCCAATTATTTGGGTTCTTTTGGGGCCGTTTAATTTATAAGAAAATGGGCCCATTTAATCCTTGCTGATCCTCGATTTTCATTGGCCGTAAGTTTAATATTGGCCCGACTCATAGAGCTCATTTCATGGGCCTAACATAAAACTCCAGTAGGTCACTTTTCTTGGGCTTACATAGTTGCGTACGTCAACATTTTTGCAATAGAGAATTTATTCATCAAAATATACAAATAAAATCGTATTTCTGAAAGGACCAAAAAAAATAAATCAAAGTACAATCTTCTGTTACAGACATTCTATAAGATTCGGCTTTATTATTTTCCGACGGACGAATTATGCCCCGAACCAATACCAATTGCGCCGCCGTACAAATGTAATGAAATCAATCAGAGCCCAGAGGTGAACGGCACGTTCGTCGCCGGAATCCATGAGTTTCCGGCGATGAAACTGCCGACGGTAAACCTCGAAGCATCTGACGCCGCCGTCAAGACCCTGAACCCGGGCCACGTGACCCGACCCGATGTCGAAGAACCCGGACCCGTATTCTGGTACTCCGCGTAGAACAGAGTCGACAAGGCGAAATTCCCATTCCACTCGAGCCATCCACGTGGATCAATCAAACCATCGAGAAACGTTTTCATGAACACGGTCCTCGAGTACTGCCTCCACGGCCGGCCCAAATAAGTCTTGACGGATCCCAGAACGGGTTGGAGATCCGACCCCGCCGTGACCCGGGAATTGTGGATCACGATCCCGGTGTTCTGATTCGGGTCGGATCTTCCCTGGGCCGTGACGGTGTTGGTTTTGTTGCGTGGACGGCGTGCGAAAATGTTACAGTTCTGAAAAACGGCGGCCGCGTTTCCGAAAATAAAATCTACCGTGCCGTAAATATCGCACTCGCGGTAAAACTGACGGTTAGAGTGGACGTAGAGAGTGTCTTGGTAACCTTCGAAGCTGCATTGGTAAAACACGGATAGATCGGATCCGGATCTTAGAGCCACGGCCTGCCCGTTGCTTGGACCCGCGGTGTTGCGGAACGTGATTCCACGCGCTATGAACCCGTCTCCGACCACAGCTACGGTTTCAGACAAAAAACACGAAGTAAAAATATAAAATAAAATGTCAGTGACGGTCTTTGACAAATATTCATTATAAGGGTTGTAGATTCTTCTTACGAAATATTGATTTCCATAAGATTAGTCTTGGTCGGTCGAAGTAATTAGTATTGTATTTATCTATCTGATCATTCCGTAGCAATTAGCTTATTACTATATATATATATATGTGTGGAGGGTTTTTTGTGTAACCAAATGATACGTACCAACGGTGGCAGAATTGAACGTGGTCGCCCCACCTCCAACACTTTTGCTCCCCGTGATAATCGTCTTCCCAATTCCATCACCTCTCAACATTATATTCTTGGCCTTTATCTCTATGTTCTCGTTATACACACCTTGTTTCACGTATATCACGAACCTACCGCTACCGGACCGCTTCGAGGCAGAGTCGACCGCTTCTTTTATCGTCCTGAAATTACCTGACCCGTCTTGAGCCACCACGGCGTTGGCCTGAGGCGTTGAGCTCTGCAGAAGCTTCCTGTTATATACATATCAGTTTAACAATTCATTAGTCAATATATACAATATAAATATATATATTTAGGGTAATAACTTGTTTAATTTATATGTGATAGTATACCTGTCACCGGGTCGCACCCACTCCGGGAACCCGTTTTCCGATGGTGGTGTGTAGTTAAAGGGCACTTCGTTAATGGCAAGTGTGTTGCTAATGAGTTTGGAAACGTTGTTCGACATCAAGGGTAAGAGGAAATCCGGCACACCGAGTTCTATGAACCCCGTCCGACACGTCTCGAGATTGGTTAGAGCCGAACTGAGCCATGTCTGGGCGTCGACTTTCGAACACTTGACGTGAGGATCGATGGTTTCGTTGAGTTTGGAGACGGTGTAATCGTAGAGCTTAAGGCAATCTTCCCATGCAGTTTTTTCACGTGAGTCTCTGCACTTTGGTCCCAACGTGAATGCATGGTTCTTGGCCAGCATGGCTCGGTCCAGAGCCAGCTTCACGGATATTTTTAGGAACTCGGATTCTGATTTGATGGGTTGATGGTTCGGGTCGTAGGTGAGGAAATACTCGCACGGAGTAGGGTTTGGAGTTTTGCTGCACCATGATTTCACGTCTCTGGAGTCAAACGCGAACACGGTCGGTCCAAGGAAAACACAGAAGAGGAAAATGGTAACATAAGCTCGAATGGCCATTATTTGGGTCAATAATGAAAAACCAGAAAGAACCAAGGAAATGTTTGAATGTGTTTCATGTCTTTGAATCGGTCCGTTTATATAGATGCATGGGAAGGCGACGTGTGGGGTCGTTGCCCATCGACGGGTGTACCACTCGGGGGAAATTGAAATACCAGGGATTCGTTAACTTGCTATTAATTTATTAATTTGAGAGCGGCCAATTTAAAATTTTATACTATATAGTTGTTGAATAATATAATACCTACCCCCTGATTGGTAGGTATCATGCCGTCGTCATTTATTCTCTAAACCTATATTCCATTTCATTGACCTGGGAATTAATTACTCAAGGGATTAATTAATATCACCTCGTTAACTTGAGGAAGAGCGATACATCACGCACTAATCTAATTTAAAATCCATCTAATTCGATCCCATGCGAAAAATTCAACCGAATAAGAGTTTATTAGATACAGTTATTAAAAAATTGTAACATTGAATGTTTTTTCACTAATTAAAATTTTCAAATAAATTAACGATTAGCACAAACTAGTGGAAAAGGAATCTCCAGATATGGACCTCGTTCATGTTTGGTCCGAATCTACGTGAATTATATGTTTTTTGACGATCGCCTTGAGGCTTGAGTAAAACCTAGGAATTTAATAACTGGACGTAATCATCATGTCATTTGTCTATATTTGGTAGCGTTATTTTACTTCGCAAATACATAACATGCAAATCGTATAAAATAACATACACATAATTAATATAAGTTGTATATAAATTTGTACGGTTGACCATGCAAAACGTGTACATGTGCGTGCGGGATATATATACACACACACACACACACTATAAGCATATACATCAACGATTTCTACTGAAACATCATCAAGATTTCTACATCTGTCTCTCTATCTACATAACCAGCAATAACAAGTTAGAAATATATTTTTTCTGGTAGTTATCCTTAAACCAATTAGATAGGTCACTTGAAAACATGAATAGGATACTTATAAATGACAATAATATGCTAATTTATATAATGTTTGCACTAATTATATGATACAATCTCATAGACTTTTAGCAAATCATTGCATGCATACTGTAATATAAAAGGATAAGAGAAATGGAGAGATACGCCTGCCTCGCAGCCTCAAACACTATTATCGTACGCGTCTTTGTAGCGATTTAATTTAATTTGAATTAAACTCAAAAGTCTTGATTCGGACATGACAAGCTCGATCACATCACAGCTTTACGTTACGTGTTGTGACAAAACCTTATATTATTACAATCTTTCATCAGTTTTTGACATTTATAGACAGTTGCATTTGCATATATATATATATATATATTTACTAATTAAAACATGCATAATTGTCATCGTTGAATACCCATAATTTTCTGGGGTAGGCATGCATGCATGGATAGCGTTCAAAACAATGATATAATTATAAAGAAGTTACGACTACAAATATATATAAATATTTACCACAATTTTCCATCTCACTATTTTATTCTAAGAATCGCAATAGTCAACGGTGTATTGGAAGACCATAACGATGATCTTATCGATCTAAGTCATAATCATTAAGTAGGTGAAGAATTAGAGAACAAACTATATATTATTCCAATACCGACAGATATCTTTGTCTTTATCTGACAAAACGAGCGATGTATAGGCTTTTGAATTTTGCATGTTGCATAGGATGTGTTGGTCAACAGAAAATTGATACAATTATAAAGATGCGACGAGAGCTTTTGTGTCTTAATTTTTTTAATTTAAAAATACATGTATAATAAATCGGCCGTTTTTGGACCGGTTTTACATGAATGACAACCTAAGGAGAGCACACGGCGTATATATAATCTTTCAACATGCAATGAGATTGGATGTGATTATTAACAATTTTGTAGGAATACTGTATTCCTGTACATGAAATTCGATTTTCCAAACCAAGGAATAAGATTTTCGGCTAATGATTTTGTTTTAGATGTAGATGGGATCTTGGATCATGTACAAAACACGTTACCGTTACCGTACGTGGACTGTCCGAGTCAGACACGATACTCCGAAACCGTGGGACGGTCTCAATCCCCGGTAGATCACCAATATCATATCCTCTCTCTCTCTCTCTCTCTTTTTTTGGTAGAAGATAATTATTATCATTAATTATTTCAATGCTTTTGGCGACGAGTTGATTTGACATCTAAACGATATTGTTTGAGCCGAGATGATGACCAAATGTCTCGAAGAAATCTAGTACCTACGTTTATGAAATTGAATGTGATAGATTACAATATTAAACATACAAAACTTAATTTCTATGATCACTTTGATTTCAAAATTATAATCATGGGCCTTAAAGGAATTTAACATGTCAGGCATCAGTGAAATATATTTCAGTTTTTTTATTATCTTATGTATATATATATATGTATGTTAATTTTCGTACTTGTATATATGCATAGTTAATTATGATTGTTAACGATAGGTAAAATTGGATGAAAATTATAATGTGTATAGGTATTTTAAACTTGTACCGCAAAATTTCCTATCTGTAAGGGTAAACGTCATCGTTTCGCGGTCGTCTATTCCGGGGAGCGTCTCGATGCATATATAACTTTCAGGACCGATCGTCTATTTCTTTTTCGCAGTCCCCGCAAAACCCTAGACCCCCGTCTCTCTCCCGGCTTTTTACTTCAATCGGACCATCGGATTAGGGTTTTGAGCGTAATTTTCCGCCCGATTATAGAATCTGAACTCACCGGACTAGTTGGACGGCGGTGTAACTGGTTACGCCATTTCTGAATCGTCGACGCTGCTTGAGCTCAAGAGACGGGAGGTTGGGGGGTTTAAATGGCCGGAGGATCAGATGCATCGGAGACTTCGACTCTGTCGTGTGCTCAGTGTCGCAAACCCGCTCATCTTCAGTACGTAATTACCGATCATTTACTGCTTTCTCATTGTCTTTCCTGTAGATTTGATGTCGGAGATTTTGTTCGGATTGTAAAGTTGGGGTTGATCATGTTTCGGAACTCGAGATTGCTGCATGAACTCGAGAACTTTTGCATTTAGATGGATAAGGGGATAAAATGATGGGACCATACTTCAATTTTTAAGGATTGATTTATGCATTTTTTTGCTCAAATACGATTCTTATTCGGCTGTGGATTCATGATTCATCTAGGGTTTTCATTAGAATGCTTCACATATTTGCTGGGGTTTTGTGATTACATTAGTCGGAAGCGGATGATGACGGAATGCATCTCCTCATATTTGCAGGTGTCCGAAATGCGTGGAACTGAATCTTCCTCGTGAAGGAGCCGCTTTCTGGTCTGCGTCATTACCTTATTGATTTCCAGTCTAGGAGCTTCGTTCTTCAGTCATTAAATGTGTCCTTTTCTTTTTATAAAATGCGCCATAATAGCACTCAAGACTGTTTCAAGTCTGCTTGGAGCTCGCACAAATCCGTGCATGTGAAGGCACAGCTCTCTTCAATCGCTAAAGTCCTTCCTGGCGATCAGAACTCTGATCTGATTGCTGAAGGTTGGCTCTATTGCTTGAAGAAAGGGCAGTCGAGGACCCCTAAGCTTCCACATTTTGATTGGACAGGGTGTGTAACAAGAACTTCTGTTGTTCCTTATGACATCTTTTCTTTTCCTCATTGTCAGAACCAGATTGGGGAATATAAATCAGATTCTTAGTCGAGTAGAAATAACGGATTTTCCGTTTGTTGTTCTTAGTGCTTTGTGATTTATTTTCTATTTTTTCATTTATGTAGGCCTCTGAGACCATATCCCATATCTTCCAAGCGTGCTGTGCCTGGCCACATAGTTAAACCTGATTGGGCCATTGATGTAAGTTCTTATCTCTCTATCGTTGAATTGTATGTTTCTTTCTGTTAATACAACTATTAGAACAGAGGCGAGCCTGGTATTATCTAACAATGACAATGAAAGTAATTATTCTATAAAGGGTGGCTTTCTCTTGGGACTTTTATACGAGTTCATTTGTTGTAACTCAATGTGCTATATGCTTCTTGGATCTTCATTATTCAAGAATGCTTGGATGCCACCCTGTTATCTAGTTTTAATGGATTTTCTTCCAAATTTCACATGCAGGGGATTCCCAAAGTTGAGCCAAACAGTGAGCTACAGCATGTTGTTGAGGTTAGTGATGTCTAAGTATATTCCATTATCTTGAATCTCGAGTTACATGTACATTCTCTTATCTCCTCAGTGTCAATTGGTTTCATTTCATCTGATTATCATCTCTATCTATTCCTGCCTTGCGTATGCTGATTTTTTGCTTTGCAGATTAAAACACCAGAGCAAATTGAGAGAATGCGTGAGACCTGTAAAGTAAGTTTTTCTTTTTGCCTTGAAATGTTGTGTTAGAAATGTCTATCTTTGATGTCTGTTCAAAGGTCTTATTTAACAAAAAAAAAAAAAAATACTGTCATCAGATTGCTAGGGAGGTATTGGATGCAGCAGCTAGGATAATTCGACCAGGGGTGACAACTGATGAAATTGATCGGGTGGTTCATGAGGCAACTATTGCAGCTGGTTCGTGTCATTTTTGAGCTATTATTTTTCACAATCACTATTCAATTTCACTATTATTTTAGTACTTTTAGTAATGAAGAGCATCACAACAACATTGTTCTCACTCTTTGCTATTGTTTTTCGGCAGGAGCATATCCATCACCTCTGAACTACCATTTCTTTCCCAAGTCTTGCTGCACGTAGGTACTTTTTAATTCATATAATGAGTTGCAGCATGCTTTCTTCTACACTCTTAATGGTTCTTCCATGTTTGTCCGTGCAGGTCTGTCAATGAAGTAATCTGTCATGGTATTCCAGATGCCAGGTATGCCTGAATTCAACTGTCTGAAACTTAAAGCTCCTTTTGTCGCAAAGAAAATGTAGCGAAGGCTTGCAAAATATCGAACAGTTAGTCTCATTTCTCATCGTCCTCTGATTGCTCAGAAAATTGGAGGATGGTGATATCGTAAATGTTGATGTGACAGTCTGTTACAAAGGTTGCCACGGTGAGTACTGCACTGAAGATACTTTCTGTATGGTTTAGTTGTTGCCTATGGATATTGTCTTTTCATGGATTGGATTATTTGTAGGTGATCTTAACGAGACATATTTTGTTGGAATTGTCGATGAAACATCTCGTCAGTTGGTTCAATGCACATATGAGTGTCTTGAAAAAGCCATATCGATTGGTGGGTCTTTCCTTTCCTTTTCGAGTTTATGATTAAAATCATAGATGAGTACAAGAACATGTTTCTTTTTGTTTGCTTATAAAATGTGCTCTTGGTGGAAAAGAAGAATTTATGTGGCCGACCCCAAATAAACTTGGGATTAAGACGATATTGATGTTGATATTGATAAAATGTGTTCTTGATTTTGTCACCTCCAGTTAAACCTGGAGTTAGATTTCGTGAAATCGGGGAGGTTATCAACCGCCATGCTTCAATGTCGGGGTTCTCAGTGGTAATGTGTCATACCTCATCGTTCATTTTTTACGCAAAGAAAGTATGTCCCGATTTAAATACTTAACCATATCTCATTTAACAGGTGAGGTCCTATTGTGGTCATGGTATTGGAGAACTCTTCCACTGCGCTCCAAATATTCCTCACTATGGAAGTATCCTTGATGTCTTAAATCCACAGAATATTAAAGCATCAGAACATAAAGAATGCAATATCCATCTATCAGTTCTGTTATGTTTTGTGCTTAGTTAGTCTATATATGGTGTGTGGCCTTAACCCGAGCAGGAAACAAAGCAGTTGGAGTCATGAAAGCAGGGCAGACTTTCACAATCGAACCGATGATCAACGCAGGTGTGTACCCCCAGGAGATTTCTTTTCGCTCTCAATTAAAAATTCATGACTCTAAATCATATCTTTTTGGGTTGTGTAAGGGGTATGGAGAGATCGAATGTGGCCTGATGGATGGACCGCTGTTACTGCTGACGGGAAACGCAGTGCTCAGTTTGAGCACACTCTCTTGGTAAGTTTCAATTCCTTGGGAAAATATTCGGACTATAAAAGATTTCAAGTCTTTATTAACCTAATAACGGTGGGCAAGCGCAGGTTACAGAAACCGGGGTGGAGGTTCTGTCGGGGAGGCTTCCGTCATCGCCCGATGTATTCCCGTGGCTGAAAGAAAAATAAGTTATTCTCCGTATCTTTTCCATGTACCTTCCCTGTAGGGTGTTTTGGCTCATACTTTTGTTTTGTACTCTCTTCGTTGGTTCCCGCCTGTGCCGCGTGTTATAAGAAGAATTACCATTGAGCGGATGCATTTACTTGCACCTCAGTGTGACCAAAAGAACAAAATCATATATTATTCCATTTTTTTTTTGTTGTTTTAACAGTTTGCTTCAAATAATCACTTTCTGCATCTGTGAGGTAATTGGAAGGGACGAAAAACTGTCTCATGCTACAAAATCTCTTGAGCTGCCATCTATTATTCTATGTTGTTGCCATCTTATCCTCTTGGGCTCACTCACTGGTTCTTCTTAAGATCGCTGGTCCTATTCTTGCACCTTCCCTGTCAATTTTGTTTTTTACTGGAACGGTACCGTAGTCAATCCCCGTCTTCTCTGTGCCGGATTTGGAAACACGAGTGTTTGGAATATGCTAGATTATGATCTTATCTTCTACTAATCTCTTTCTTGATTTAGAGTCTTACACCGCAATCGATTTTTTCCTCTTCTGTTGAACATCCAATTCATTTTTCCATATTAACGAAAAAGAATATTATACGTTTTAGTAATAGACTTGAGGAACTTTAAATATAAAATGTGAAAGGCGCAGTCAACGGTCAAGATCTGTCCTTTCCGGATCGAACGGTCAGGTTTCCATGGATCAAATTGTCCCTTGACGTAGACAAGGGGAGATGATGGCGAGAGTTGGTGGGTGGCTCCTCGTATCATACATCTATTTCACTCCCCACCTGCCTCTCTCTCTGATCTATCACTCCTCTTTCTCTCTCTAGAATCGGAGAGCGCATCCATGGCTTCCACTTCTTCCCTTGCGCTCTCTCAAGCCCTCCTCTCTCGCGCCACCTCTCACCATGTCTCCGACAATCGCGTCTCCTTACCCACCTTCTCCGGCCTCAAACCCACCACCCCACGCGCCACCGCCTCCTCCTCCCGCCGACTCGCGGGTCGCGCGCCCCACCGGTCTCTCCTCCCGGTAATCCGTGCCACCGCGGCGGAGACGATCGACGCAACCACCGAGGCCTCGCTGGTGGAGAAGTCGATCAACACAATTAGGTTCCTGGCGATCGACGCTGTGGAGAAGGCGAAGTCGGGTCACCCGGGTTTGCCCATGGGTTGTGCTCCGATGGGTCACGTTTTGTACGATGAAGTCATGAGGTACAACCCCAAGAACCCTTACTGGTTCAACCGTGATCGCTTCGTTCTCTCCGCCGGACATGGCTGTATGTTGCATTACGCATTGCTTCACCTTGCTGGATACGACAGCGTTAAGGTTGGTTTTCTCTTCTTCACTTCTTCTGTTTCAATTTCTAGTCCTTGGGCTTGCTGATATCAGTAGCTTGGAAAATCTATATGGCATTGGGGAATTGGAGATTTGAACTGAGAACGTATGGAGCTCTGTTTGCAATTTAAGCGGATCATAGTTGAAGAATGCAATATCTGTTTTCCTCTGTTCATTTGTGTCGATGTATGTATGCGTATAAAATTTATGATCGGAA